TCTAACAGGTGTAAGGTGGTATCTCAGAGTCGTTTTGATTTGCATTTCTCTGATGATTAAGGATGTTGAGCATTTCTTTAAATGTCTTTCAGCCATTTGTAGTTCTTGTTTTGTGAATTCTCCAGGCAGTGTCTTTCAATCCAGAAAAGTAACCTAGACAACTGTTTATCATCAGAACTCATGTGTCAGATGTTACCTATCCATGACAAGCCAGTGGGAGACTAGGCTAGCTGTGAGATCTTCCAAGGGTGTGTGTGTGTGTGTCTTTGCACATTGCATGTAGAGGTCAGATCAATAATGTGTGTGTTCTTCAATCACTCCCTCATCTTGTTTTTTGAATTTATATTATTAGTAGTATTTATTTACTTATTTTGTATGTGAATGTGTATTGTGTGGGCATGCTCTGGGGCTAGCGGCAACTTTTAGGAGTCAGTTCTCGATTTCCTCTTCCTACCATGTGTTTCCAGAATCAAACTCGGGTTTTTAGGTTTGGCTGCAAGTGCCTTTACCATGGGAGCCACCTCATCAGCCCTTCCATCTTATTTCTTTGAAACAGAGACCCTTATTGAACCTGGAGTTTGCTAGAACAGCCGATTAGAAAGGCCCAGGGAGCCTCCTGTCTCTACTTCCCCACTGCTGGGATTACAGATGCGCAAGCACCATTGTGCCTGACGTTTTATGTGGTGCCGAGGATTGAACCTGTGTCCTCAAGCTCTCATGGTAAGCACTGTATCAACTAAGCCATCTCCTGTGCCCTCAAATACATTTTTATTTTCGAGACAGGGTTTCTCTGTGTAGCTTTGCGCCTTTCCTGGGACTCACTCTGTGGACCAGGCTGGCCTTGAACTCACAGACATCTGCCTGGCTCTGCCTCCCGAGTGCTGGGATTAAGGGCGTGTGCCACCACTGCCCGACCAAATGAATGTTTTTATTTGTGTGTTTGAGACAAGATCTCTCTTTTGTAGCCCTGGCTGACCTACACTCACTCACTATGTAGACCAGGTTGGCCTTGAACTCAGAGAGATCAGCCTGCTTCTGCCTCCTGAATTCAGGGATTAAAGATGTGAACAACTTCATCAGTGGTCATCAGCCTTCCTAATGCTGTGACCCTTTAATACAGTTCCTCATGTTGTGGTGACCCCCAACCATAACATTATTTTGTTGCTACTTCCTAACTGTAATTTTGCTGCTGTTGTGATTCACAATGTAAATATCTGGTAAACAGGATATCTGATATGTGACCCCTGTGAAAGGGTTGCTTGACCACCAAAGAAGTTGCAACCCACAGGTTGAGAACCCCTGGATTGAAGGCAATGTGTTGATTTGAATGAGAATGCCCCTCATAGGCTCTGAGGTTTGGAAACCTGATCCTCAGTAGGTGGCATTGTCTCAGTAGATTTAGGAGGTTTGTCTTTGTTGGAGGAGGTATGGCACCAGGGGTAGACTGTGAGGCTTCAAAGCCAAGTGCCATTTGAAGTTCCCTTTCTCTGCTTCCTACTTGTGATTCAAGATGCAAGCCCTCAATATCCTGCTCCAGCCTGCTGCTGGCTGCCACGCTCCCCACCATGACAGACTCTTATCCCTTTGGAAGGATAAGCCCAAATAACTGCTGCCTTCTCTATAAGTTGCCTTGGTGATGGTGCTTTATCACAGCAATAGAAAAATCACACAAAATGATAGGCAGTCTGTATTCAAAGCATTGTTCTAGAAGGACTTAAAAGAGTATGGGTTTTCTTCAACCACCCTCATTAGTTTACTAGTATATCTAACCAGGACTTCTTTTTTTAAGGACTTATTTATTTTAATGTGCATTGGTGTTTTGCCTGCATGTATTTCTGTATGAGGGTGTTGGGTCCCCTGGAACTGTATTATACAGACAGTTGTGAGCTGCCATGTGGGTGCTGGAAAATTGAACCCAGGTCCTCTAGAAGAGCAGCTGGTGCTCTTAACCATTAAGCCATCTCTCGAGTCCTAACCAGAACTTCTTTATGCACCTACAAAGAAGTATGACTAACTAATCTCCATTTCTTTGACAAAAGTTATCATGTTCTTTTTTTTTTTTTCACGAGTTTGAGAAGTACCACGGTTTGGCTTATATTTAGAATTATTCTTCCTAGCCCTGTACTGAGAATTGGCAGCAAGGGAGGAAAGAGCACAACCTCATTGGTATCTAGCGCAACAATCCAGAGAAGAGATTCTTGTTGGAACAGTGAAGGTGGTGAGAAGAAGTTCTAGGTTTCTGGAGCTATTTTAAAGCCATCTTATACAGATCAGATGGAATATTGACCTTCATTGCAAAGCACGATAGTATCTTCAAAGATCTGACTTAGTGATCTCCTAGAAAAACACAATTCAGCGAGGCGGTGGTGGTGCACGCCTTTAATCCCAGCACTCAGGGGGCAGAGGCAGGTGGATCTCTGTGGGTTCAAGGCCAGCCTGGTCTACAGAGCAAGATCCAGGACAGCCAGGGCTACACAGAGAAACCCTGTCTCGAAAACTCAAAAGGAAAAAAAGAAAAACACAATTCTTAGTCCTCTTCCTTCATAGAGGTACTTAATTGGGCACCATTTTCATTTGAATTCATTGTTTATTCCTGCAAAGCTATGGTAACTCTTCTAAGAATAAATGGTTTAATTGTTTTTGAAAAGTTCATTTATGCATACAATGTATTTTGATCATATTCACCCCACTTCTCCCCTTAACTCCTCCTAGTTCTATCCCCTACTTCCCATCCCCTCCCAAATTCATCTCTTCCCTTTAAAAATAACTCACTGAGTCTAATTTGTGCTGCTCATATACTCCCGCTCGTGCGCACGCGGTGTGTGTGTGTGTGTGTGTGTGTGTGTGTGTGTGTGTGTGTGTGTGTGGTGGGGTACAACCCACTGGAGTGCTTGACTTACCATGGGCCATACCTTTAAAGCAAACTAACTCTTCCTCTCCTAGAAGCCACCAACTGTAAATCGCCCCTCAGTTAGGGATGGGGCCTCATGAGCTCCTCCCCCTACTTGCGAGAATGTTGAGTGATCTGGTCTCGTATGGGTCGTGTGCAGGCAAGCACAGCTGCTGTGAGTTCCTGAGTGCAGTGGGCCTGTCCTGTCCAGAGGACCCTGCCTCACCTCAGTCCTCCCTGACCGCTGGCTCTTACCATCTTCCTGCCCCCTCTTCTGTGATGCTCTCTGAACCTTGGAGGGAAGTGGAGTGATGTCCAATTTGTGGCTGAGAACTACACAGACTCTTAGCCTTTGCACTTTGACCAGCTGTGAATTTCTGTGTCAGCTGCCTACACTGCACACACACACACACACACACACACACACACACACACACACACACACACACACACACACAGATCTCTGACACAGTCTGACTAATCTGTGAATATAGAGGTATGAATTTAGAGGGCAGTTTGATGCTATGTCCATTTTAGCAACACAACAGTAGTAGGTTCATCCCTTGGGACCAGGACCTCCCCAATAATGGGTTTGGGGCCCGATCTCCAGTACCAGGCATGTATTTCCTTCTGTGGAGTGGGCCTTAAATCCAATCAGAAAGTTGCTGGCTACCCTCGCAACCTTTGTGCCACTGCTGTACACATGGGCACCCCTTGCCACACTGGTCATTATTGTTGTTCACAGAGTTCACAGCTGGATGTGACTGGTGATGACCCCTCAGCCCCCAGCAGCCTACATAACACCTTTTGGTGCTATGAAAGCTAGCCATTAAGTTGGTAACATCTTAGTCAGTACCAGTTTGATTTCTTCACATTCTGTGTCCAAAGTCTATAGTGTCTTTAGCAATAGCGTTTACCATCAAGTTCTGGTAAGCAACTATGCTGTTAGTTTTTTGTTAACTTGATACAAACTATATCCACCTGGGAAGAAGAGACTCAATCACATAGGCCTGTTGGCAAGTCTGTGAGGGCATTTTCTTGATTAATGATTTATCTGGGAAGGCCCAGTCTACTGTGGGCACTGCCAACCCTGGGCACCTGGATTATATAAAATAAACAAGCTGAGTGATCCATAAAGATATTTTGTATTTGTGGGTCAAAATGTGATATTTGTCTTTCTGAGTCTGAGTTACCTCACTCAGTATAACCTTCTCCAGATCCACCTATTTATCTGCAAATCCATAATTTAGTTTTTCTTTATAGCTGAACAAAATTCCATGTTGTATAGGCACCTCATTTTCCTTATCCATTCATCAGGTGGTGGACATGTAGGCTGTTTCCATGTCCTAGCTATTGTGATTAGAGCAGCAATGAACATGGATGCACATGTGTTTCTGTAGCAGGAAATAGAATCCTTTGGGTATATGCCCAGGAGTGGTTTAGCTGGGTCATATCGCAGATCTATTTCTAGTTTTTTTAGGATTCTCCGCACTGATGTCCATAGTGGCTGTACCAGTTTGCACTCCCATCAACAGTGTATAAGGATTCCATTACCCACACTCTCATGAGCATTTGTTGTCTTTTACTAATCTCTTCTATTTTAACTGGGGTAATATGAAATCTCAAAGTAGTTTTAATTTGCATTTCTCTGATAGCTAAGGACCAAAAAGTTAGCATTGTGGTTTTTTTTTGTTTTTTTGTTTTTTTGTTTTTTTGTTTTGTTTTTTTTTGCTGTTCTGTGCTGTAGAATATTAGATGAAGATGTGTTCATTTGTTTATGCTGTGGAATATTTGCTTAATGATGCAAAGATGTATTGCATTCTTTTATGTTTCATTTGTTTAACTCTGTGAAGCTGTGTTACTTTGCCTATGTAAAACACCTGAGAGCTGAACGGCCAATAGCAAGGCAGGAGAAAGGATAGGCAGAGCTGGCATGCAGAGAGAATAAATAGGAGGAGAAATCTGGGAAGAGAAGATCAAGCAGCAAAAGGAGAAGGAGAGGAGGACTCCAGGGGCCAGCCACCCAGCTACACAGCCACTGAGTAAGAAGTACAGAAAGGTGTATAGAATAGAGGAAGATAAAAGCCCAGAGACAAAAGGTAGATGGGAAAATTTAAGTTAGAAAAGCTGGCTAGAAACAAGCCAAGCTAAGTCTGGATATTCAGAAGAAAAAGACTCATTTATTTGGGAGCTGGGTGGTGGACCCCCAAAGAGCAAAGTGCAAAGAGTAAGAAAAAAAAATCAACAGTTCTGTATCTTTTTTTTTTTTTTAGTTTTTCAAGACAGGGTTTCTCTGTGTAGCTTTGCACCTTTCCTGGAACTCGTTTTGTAGACCAGGCTGGCCTCGAACTCACAGAGATCCGCCTGCCTCTGCCTCCCGAGTGCCGGGATTAAAAGTGTGCGCCACCACCGCCCGGCTCAGTTCTGTATCTTTTATGAACAATGCATCCCAGAAATCTTTACAAATCATTTCATAGGAACTTTTTCTTTTCTTCCGTACTTTCTGGGGCTGGGAATTAAACCCAGGGCAATCTGCATAATAGGTAAATGCTCCAACAGTTATGGAGATGTGCTGTGGGATTATGCTTTTACAACTGGTTTAGTAAAATGCTGATTGACCATTAGCCAGGCAGGAAGTATAGGTGGGATAAGCAGACAAGGAGAATTCTGGGAATAGGAAGGTTGAGTCAGGACACACCAGCCTGCCATCCACAGAGCAGCATGTAATGGCACATAGGTAAAGCCGCGGAAAATGTGGCAACATCTAGATTAACAAAAATGGGCTGAGTTTAAATGTAAGAGCTAGTCAGTGGTAGGCCTGAGCGAGTGGCTGAGGAGTTTTAATTAATATAAGCTTCTGAGTGATTATTTTATAAGTGGCTGCAGGGTTCATGTGGCTGGGCAGGACCGGACAAAACTTCAGCTATAGAGATGCACACCCAGGGTCTCTCAATTTTGTCTTTTCTTTTATGTGTGTAGGTGTTTTGCCTGCATATGTGTCTGTGTACCACATTCATGTTTGATTCCTAAGGAGGCCAGAAGAGAGCATTCAAACCCCCAGAACGGGAGTTATAGATGGTTGTGAGACAACTTGCGGATGCTAGAAACTAAACCCAGGTCCTATGCAAGAGCAGCAAGTGCTCTTAACTGCTGAGCCATTTCTCTGGCCCTTCTTTTTTTTGCAGCTCTTTAGTATTCCTTAACGTGCATGTATACTAATTTTTTTCATTTTTATTTATTTATTTATTTTTCTATTGTCAGCTTGATACAGTATAAATTCCTATCCTAATAGTGAAATGTTTCATTGAGGCTTGCCCAGTAATTGAGTAAAACCAAAACTTATTATAAGCCACAGTCATCCTAGGGTCCCCCTGCTATGTAGCCTCCCTGGTTCTGTGGGTTGCAGTCTGATTGTTCTTTGCTTTATATCTAGTATCCACTTATGAGTGAGTACATACCACGTTTGTCTTTCTGGTTTTGGGTTACCTCACTCAGGATATTTTCTAGTTCCATCCATTTGCCTGCAAATTTCCTGATGTCATTGTTTTTCTCTGCTGAGTAGTACTCCATTGTGTATATGTACCACATTTTCTTTATCCATTCTTCAGTTGACGGGCATCTAGGTTGTTTCCAGGTTCTGGTTATTACGAACAGTGCTGCTATGAACATAGCTGAGCATGTATCTTTATGGTACGAATCAGCATTCCTTGGGTATATGCCCAAGAGTGGGATGGCTTGGTCTTGAGGTAGATTGATTCCCAATTTTCTGAGAAACCGCCATACTGATTTCCAAAGTGGTTGTCCATGTACGCTAATTTTTTAATGTTGGGTTATTTCCAACTTCTGGTTATCAAGATGAGTAATTTTGCAAATGTAACATTTTGCACATTCCCAGGAGTGTAATTACTAATTAGTTACTAATTTATGTCATAAATAGAAGGGACTTGGGGAAGAGAAAGAGATAGTAGGGCAAGAGGGTAGAAGGAAGACAAATATGATCAAAACATGATACATTCACGGGTTCAAATGTCACTGTGAAAAGAATTGATTTTTACAATTAATTTATTAATTATAAGAAAATTACTATCTTTAAAAATCTGTTTCAGGGATACAGGCATATAAACATCACCTGGCTGACAGGGTGAACAGTCTCTGAGGACGCTGCGCAAGATCTCACGCACAACCCCAGCCCCGGAAGATGGGGAACTGCCTCAAATCCCTGACCTTGGATGACATATCCCTGCTTCAAGAGTCTCAGTCCAACCTGGCTAGCTTAGGCGAGCGGACGGAGCCAGATCAGGAGCCGCCGCCGCCATATCAGGAACAAGTTCCCGTTCCCGTCTATCATCCAACACCTAGCCAGACTCGGCTAGCAACTCAGCTGACTGAAGAGGAACAAATTAGAATAGCTCAAAGAATAGGCCTTATACATCTGCCTAAAGGAGCTTACGACCCTGGAAGAAGTGGATCAGAAAAAAAGATCCGGGAGTGTGTGATCTGTATGATGGACTTTGTTTATGGGGACCCAATTCGATTTCTGCCTTGCATGCACATCTATCACCTGGGCTGTATAGATGACTGGCTGATGAGATCCTTCACGTGCCCCTCCTGCATGGAGCCGGTTGATGCAGCTCTGCTCTCATCCTATGAGACTGAGCCAGGGTCTCTGTCGGAGTTCAAGTGAACCATCATTTTTGGTGGTTCTGATCTTTTGTCACTGAGCCCAAAGAGCCAGGGATTAGGAATTAAGATCATGCACAAAAGTTTCCTAAAAATTTCTGGATGGCTGCAGATGTTGAGGAAAGTATGTGATATTTTAGAAACTTATGGGGGAAAGTAGGATGGATGGTATTTTTATGTAAAGCCTTGACCCAGTGTTTAAAATATAATTGTTATTAGAAAAAAAAATCTGTTTCAGTAGCCAAGTGTGGGTATAGGCGATTCGTACCACACTTGGGAGGCTTAAACAAGAAGATCACAAGTTCGAGGTCAGTCTTAGCTACACGGACAGACTCTGTCTCAAAGCAAATAGACAAAATATGTAAAGAATACATTGGAAGCTGGGTATGGTGACATACACTTATAATCCCAGAAGTCAGGAACTGCTGAATCAGGACTATTGAAAATTCCAGAACAACCATGGCTACATAGCAAGTTAAAGTCCCACCTGATGGGCTAGTACAGTTTGGATCCTGTGGTGTCAAGCAGACATACCCAAAAAACTGGGAAGAGAATCAAATGTGGGTGTAATTCAGTAGCAGATCACATGCGTAGCTTTCTCAAGGCCCCGAGTTCCATCTATAGCACCAAAGGAAAAAATTTAAATGTGAGTAAAACAAGCAGAGATAAAGGAAAAAGAAGGTCCAGGTAAAAGCGAGCATGAACAGAGCCCAGCTACTTCCAAAAGCTAGCTTCTATGCTTTTGAGATCTTCATAAAATAGAAGAGCAAGTATGAAAAGTATATTATGAGCAGTGATCCCTTTCTTTCCTTCCCTCCTTTCTTTTGTTTGTTTGGTTTTTGTTTTGTTTTGTTTTGAGACAGAGTTTTTCTATGTAGCTTTGGAGCCTTTCCTGGAACTCACTCTGTAGACCAACCTGGCCTCGAACTCAGAGATCCTCCTGCCTCTGCCTCCTGTGTGCTGGGATTAAAGGAGTGTGCCACCACCCGACAAGAAAAAATGATTTAATATAAAAGAACAGTGATCAAATCCCAAAAATGGTATCAGAAGCAAAAAGATAAGACATAGTTACACCCTTACATGTTAGAAATGGTTCTGGGGTTCCAAGAAATGACAAAAGCAAAAAGTTTTATTTCTGCATATCTGTAAATAGTCATGTCAAATCAAGCAAGATAGCACACCAGTGGAGGTCTCACTGGGTTTTCATTCCTAACATAAGGAGTCCTGTGCTTCACTCTGAATGGTCAGAGCTTGGCTTCACATTCTTAGGTAGCTGACTAACTCACAATTGCACAGCTGAGAGGCAAAAACAGCTTTATGATGGCAGGCTGAAACTTTGAACACGAACTTTTACCTTAGGAAAATGATGGCTGGAGGAGGGATTTCTGCCGGATGGAGTCCTTACAAATGTCTTTACAGGTGGAACTTTCTCATTGAACTTTTGGCAGCAAAGACAGTACACATTTCCCACATTACAGATAAGAAAAGGCTATCTACAAAACAAATGAAAACTAGACAGAGGGTGGTGGCGCACGCCTTTAATCTCAGCTCTCAGGAGGCCGATCTCTGTGAGTTCGAGGCCACCCTGCTCTACAGAGTGAGTTTCAGGACAGCCAGGGCTGTTACACAAAGAAACTGTCTCAAAAAAAAAAAAAAAGAAAGAAAGAAAGAAAGAAAGGAAGGAAGGAAGGAAGAAAGTAAATTTTTCTTAAAAAAAAAAAAAAAAAAGGAAGCAAGAAAGGAAGGAAGAAAAACTCATTAGTATTTCTAACTGAGCTCAGAGAGATTAGAAATGCTACCAGATGGGAGGGGACAATGTAAATCAGAATGAGAAATATTCAGAAACTATGTAGTCCAACTCATGAACACACTAAACACCAAACAAAAAGCCATTTTAAAATGCAGACTTAGGGCTGGAGAGATGGCTCAGGGGTTAAGAGCACACTCAGGGGTTAAGAGCACTGTCTGTTCTTCAAGAGGTCCTGAGTTCAATTCCCAGCAACCACATGGTGGCTCACAACCATCTGTAATGAGATCTGGCGCCCTCTTCTGCCTGCAGGCATACATGCTGTATACATAATAAATAAATCTTAAAAAAAAAATCTTTAAAAAAAATGCAGACTTAACTACAAGGAAAGTAAGAACCAGTAAACACAACAGATAATGGGTGGCTTGGAGAAACAGATGAAAAGGACAGTTGTGAAGATTAGGAAGACATGAAAAAACTTCTGGTTTCCACATGGAGGACATGCAAGGAACTAAAGAAAAACTTTCAACTTCACAAGAAAAAAAAAAAAAAACACCGAGCAAACAAATTTATGAATGAACTTGTAGAGGGGCCCCAAAACACCTTGACCACACAGCTGCCATGACAGGCTTAGAGGCCCAGACACAGCTTCTGTGACAGGCTTATTGGCAGGCAACACCCAGACCAGGAAAAGCCATAAGCTGGCCCCACCCAGGGAGGGCCTACATCTAAGGGAAAGTACCTGACATCCCAAACATTCCAACCGTTAGACAAGATGTCCCTGACTCTAGCACATACCTATTTTTGTTTTACAGATACTCCTAGACAAATGTCAGCCAATCAGGGAAATCCCCTCACCCCAACCTCTGCTATGATAAAAACCCCACCCTGCCTGGGCTCTGGGCTTTCTGCTCTCACCGCTGCATTGGACAGAGACCAAGCTTGGAGCTTGAAGGCTCTTTGCTTTTACATACAGGGTTTGGTCTCCATGGTGGTCTTTTTGGGGTCCCTGGATCTGGGCATAGCAAACTCATCTAAGAACAAACATTACAGGACAGATCAGATTCCTGAAATTTGGAGAGAATATCTCACAGAACCAGAACATTTGCTTAAATGAGGCTAAACACACAGGAACAAGAATTTTTTTTATGAGTTTTTGGAGGCTGAGTACAGGCTAGGGAAGATGGCAGAGGCAGATGTTAAGGGGAGTGCATGAGTTACTTTTCTGTTGTGATAGAATACCTTGATCAAGGGCCTAGAAATTAAAAGCACATGCAGAGGACCCGAGTTTAGTTCCCAGTGCCCACATTTAGTGGCTCACACTATAACTCCAGTTCCAGGGGATCTGATTTTTAGGATCCTGCCCTCACTCTTCCGGGTCTGGCATCTTACATCATTAGTGGGCATGGGTGACTGCGTACCTGCTGAGTGGTCACGTAATCCCTGCCTTAAGCTGGACCCAGACCCCCACGCTCTTTCTGTGTTTCCTTTCTGCTCGCTCTTGCTCTCTCTCTCTCTCTCTCTCTCTCTCTCTCTCTCTCTCTCTCTCTCTCTCTGCTCCCACCATCTTCCTTTCTCTCCAGGCCTGGCTTCTTTCTAATAAAGCTTGCTCTAACTCTGGTAGTCGTGGCTGTGGCCCATGACTTTTCCACCGGTAACCAGCACCACCAACCAGTGCCGTTTTACTATCACTGACGCCCTCTTCTGACCTCTGTAGCATGAAACACATGTGTCATGTATATACATACACACAGACAAAACACACATACACATAAATTAATATAAAAAATGCAAAACACCATGGCCAAGGCAACTTATAGAAGGAAGAATTTAATTGGGTTTATGGTTCTAGAGAGATAAGAATTTATCACGGTAGGGGTCATAGTGGTGAGTGATAAGAACAGGAAGCTAAGGGCTTAAATCTCAAATGTAAGAATGAAGCAAAGAGAGAGAACTGGAGAGCTGGAGGCTTTTCACTTGCAAAGTCTGCCTCTGGTGATGTTCTTCCTCCAACAAGGCCTCACCTCCTAAACTTCTCCAAACAGACTCATCAGCTGGGGACCAAGTGCTCAAATATCTGAACACATGGGGAACATTCTCATTCCAACCACTCCAGGAACTTCCTACGGCTTTGCAGGATTATAGTCCAAGAACACCACTAGGCATGCACAAGGCTTGGGAAAGTCTAGAGAAAGCCTGCTTCCTGGATGGAGGGAAAAAACAGAAACCATGATGTCATAGAAAGCACCTGTCACTCTTGGAGAACAGAAGGCTGAATTTGAAGGGGAAAATGTAAGACCTTTGGTCTCTCTCTCTCTTTTTTTTTTTTTTTTTTTTTTTTTTTTTTTGAGACGGGGTTTCTCAGTGTAGTTTTGGAGCCTGTCCTAGATCTTGCTTTGAAGACCAGGCTGGCCTCTAACTCACAGAGATCCACCTGGCTCTGCCTCCTGAGTGCTGGGATTAAAGGCAGTATTTCCACCCGGCACCAGAAATATTGTTTCTGATATCAGCAAAGGAAGCAGTAGCAGCAGCAACAGGGTAAATCAATTTGGTAGCAAGAGGAAAGGCCAAGTAAGAAAAAGGCAAATAACCTTCCTTCTTGTCGTGCTCCCTTTAAAAAAATCTGGGTTGATACCAGAAGTTGCCACCCACATTTAGAGTGAGTCTTCCCACATCAATTAAGACCATTCCCTAATTGAACCCCCCAATCAGGTGATTCTAATTTGTGACAAGTTGACACTAAGACCAACCATCACAGCGTCAGATGCCATGAAGCTGGGGTCACAGGCAATTGTAAGCTGTCTGATTCAGGTGCTGGGAACTGAACACAGAGCCTATAGAATAATGGTTCTCAACTTGTGGGCTGCGACCCCTTTGGGATCAAAATGACTTTTTCACAGGGGTCACCTAAGACCATCAGAAAACACAGGTGTTTACATTATGATTCATAACAGTAGCAAAATTACAGTTATGAAGTAGCAACAAAAAATAATTTCATGGTTGGGGGGTCACCACAACATGAGGAACTCTATTAAAGGGTCGCAGCATTAGGAAGGTTGAGAACCATTGCTCTAGATGAACAGAAAGTACTTTGAACTGCTGAGCCATCTCTTCAGCCCCTCACCCCCAAATTAATTTTTAAGTGTCTCTTTGCAGGACTAGTTGTATAAGTTGCTTTGGGAGTCCTTATTCCAAGTTGTGAAATCTCGAAGGCAAACAAGAGAGCATTTCATAATATAGTGACTGGCTCATTCCATTTTCTATTACTGTAACAAGCTATCAGGGACTGGGTAATTTACAAAGAATAGCTTATTTGGCTCATGATTTTAGAAGGTAGGAAGTCCAAGAGCATGAGGCCACAATCTGTTTAATGTCTTCTTTTTGTTTGTTTGTTTTTTGAGACAGGTTTTCTCTGTGTAGCCTGGCTATCCTGGAACTCACTTTATAGACCAGGCTGGCCTCGAACTC